GTCTGTTCAGTGCCTTCCAAGTCACCCAGTCTTCTTTGTGCCCAAGGAGTTGTCTCTCATTCAGCATCAGCCATGGATTGAGGTTCCCAGTTTCAGCCTGCCACTTTTGGACTCTCGCTTGCTGAAGTGTTCCTGCGAGCATCTCTGTAGATTTTAGGAAGCTGTTTCTTTATTTAAGGCATTGGTATGCTGGCTGGTATCCAAACAGAAGATGGGCCGGAGATGTCATTGCCTTGGTCCTTTCATTATTGGCTGCTACTTCCTGGCAGATGTCAGGTGGTGCAATACTGACTAATCAGTATAGTTTCTCCAGTTGTGTAGGGTGTAGACTTCCTGTGATAATGAGGCATGTCTTTTTAAGAGCCACATCCACTGCTTTAATGTGGTGAGATGTGTTCCACATTGGGCATATGTATTCAGCAGCAGAGTAGCAAAGCACAAGGGCAGATGTCTTCACTGTGTCTGGTTGTGATCCCCAGATTGTGCCAGTCAGCTTTTGTGTGATATTATTTCTAGTGCCCACTTTTTGCTTGATAGTCAAGCAGTGCTTCTTGTAAATCAGGGCACAGTCCAGGGTAACTCCCAGGTATTTTGGTGTGCTACAATGCTCCAGTGGGATTCCTTCCCAGGTAATCCCCTGAGCTTGAGATGATTGTCTGTTCTTAAGGTGAAAAGCACATGCTGCATTTTAGATGGATTAGGAATCAGCTGGTTTTCCCTGTAATGGGCAATAAGAGCACCTAAAGCCTTGGAGAGTTTCTGTTCATCCATTTCAAAGCTTCCTGCTTGGACAGTGATGGCACAATCATCAGCATAGATTAAGCAACTTGCAGCATGATCACAGCTGTAGCCAAAAGTGTTAGAATTAAACTTCTTCTAGCATCCTAATTCAGCTCTTCTCTGGAATTTCTTTTCAAAATTTTATTCCCGTTCAATAATGGCTCTTTCTACCATATAATTTTGTAGTACGTTAGATAGAGACCATAGATTACAATTTAAGTTTACCTAGTAATAGTAACAGAGAGCCATTATTGTGTAGTGTAGTGGTTTGAGTGCTGGACTGCGAAATTAGGGTTCAAATCCCTGCTCAGCCCACTGCATGATCTTGAACAAATCACATTGTTTAAGACTCAGAGGAAGGCAAAGGCAACTCCTGTCTAAACAAACCTTGCCAAGGGAACACTGTGACACTGTGATCAACTTGAAGGCACATAACAAGAAGAATAGTAGCATATATGGTATATTGCAAATCTCTTGGGAAAACAGTCAGACAAATGTCAGAGTTCTGGAAGAAGCAAAGACCACCAGCATTGAAGTGATGATTCTCTCCCATAAACTTTTATGAACCAGCCAAGTTGTCCGAATGGCAAGGAAGTTGCGTCTGGCAAAACCTTGTCATGACCCCCTTCAACCTGGGAACCAATGTTCTCATTGTGAAAGGCCATGCAGATCCAGAACAGGTCTTAGCAGTCAGGGACCCATCGCCAAGACTCTACTTCTGGAAGACAATCATACTTGGCCATGATGATTAAATCACTTGTTTTGTACCAAGAAAGGGCATTGGAGTTAAAAAAAATTGCAAATAGTACTCTCTCCCTATGGTGGCGCAGTGGGTTAAAGCGCTGAGCTGCTGAGCTTGTTGACCGAAAGGTCGCAGGTTCGATTCCGGGGAGCGGCATGAGCTTCCGCTGTCAGCCCTAGCTTCTGCCAACCTAGCAGTTCGAAAACATGCAAATGTGAGTAGATTAATAGGTACCACTCCAACGGGAAGGTAACGGCGCTCCATGGAGTCATGCCGGGCACATGACCTTGGAGGTGTCTACGGACAACGCTGGCTCTTCGGCTTAGAAATGGAGATGAGCACCACACCCCAGAGTCAGACATGACTGGACTTAATGTCAGGGAATAACCTTTACCTTTACCTTACTACTCTCTCCCCAATGAACTATCAATCTAACTCAGTGGTGAAAACAAGAGGCGATGAAACTCTCTCCAAACAACTTGGGTGTGTCTCCACTTCTAGGCAACTACAGCAATTACTCCTTATATAATAGCCATTCAAGATCCTAACCGCTCTTAAAACGCTCCTGTTTAGAGCATAGGTGACTACCGCATCTTAAAGGTCAATATTGGGAGGTTAGTACTCTCAAGAGTAATCTCTCTCAGGAGGTGTGATATTTGTTTTTGCTTTTTTATTGAGGGTGGGGAGTTGATTGAAGTTTCAATCCTATATACACACATATCTAGCTGCATGTAAGATCCACTGAACTCAATGGATCTGAACAGATCTGCCTATGATTACCTTGTCACAAGTAACTTCTTAAAGGAATGTGGAAGTGGAGGCAAATTACTGTTGCCATTCTCTTTGTTAGTCTCAATTAGAGCAGATCTATTCAATCAGCTACTTAACTGAGATTCAACACATAGGTAAACCTTATTGATTCATTGGGTCTACTCAGCTAGGGCTTTCTCAAGTCGCTCCTGACACGACAAAAATAAAATAAAAATAAAAGATAGGGCTAACAACAGGAATTAGGCCTATATGTGAGAACAGTTGAATTTTAATGGCAAAAGCAATGAAGTCTCAAGAGGATAGCCATCAACCTTATTAAAACTTATACACACCACAGTGTCACTAGAAGGATGCAAACTGCATTGGGTCATGCCATCAGAGGGATAGAAACTGATATTTTGTGTATTTATTACACAGCATAAATGTGCATTGTTTCAGTGTAGATACATTACTTTTAATAATACCCCTGAAGTTAGAACCCCAAAACATTTTCTGTAATCCAAGCTTGTGTGTACTATATTAACATACCTACAAGGCTAAAACTTTATGCTAATTTATTGTTTCATTATAGCCCAATTATTATGATGCTTTGAATCATATGGATTCATCTGCACATGCTACAAGCATGTGCTATTGTTTTTGTTGCAGCTGGTTTTTATAATAGTCACTGATTTCCCACTAAAATGTATGAGTAATGGTTTACAAGTCATCGAATCATAGAATCATTGAGTTGGAAGAGACCTCGTGGGCCATCCAGTCCAACCCCTTGCCAAGAAGCAGGAGTGGTATTAGTACAGTGTGGCCTTGGTGTCTGCTGGGTTTTGGTACTGGGACCCAACAAAACCCACCACAGATACCAAAATAGTACACACTCATGACCATTGCATCAACCTGGGCTGACATTTGGAGAGATGGATCCAGGAACACTCCCAAGTCTTTCAGGCGGGTGTAAACCCATCCAGAACTAGTTGACATACCTCCATCCCCAGAGTAGGACCCTTGATGGCAAGCACCTCTGTTTTGTCTGGATTCAGTTTCAATTTGTTTTTCCTCCAGACGTTTACTCAAAGGAGGCACACTATCCTTGGAAAGGTTAGAATCTAGTCTGTAATTATTAAGGTTTTTCCAGGGAGGGCTTTTTCAGCAACGGTCTAACTATTGCTCTTTCAAACAGGATGGAAAATTTTTCTCCCTATGAGACACATTGTATTTGAGATCAAATTGCATCTCCTCCCTGGACGACAAGCCAAAAAGGACAGGGATCAAGAAAGCAGGTTGTCCTCCTTAGTTGTCCTAGCAGCTTGTCCACATCAACAATACTCACCAATTTAAACTGATTCAGTGTAATCCCACTCACAGAGTTGCTGGACACCTCATTGTTGGCCTCTGCTCCAATGACAATGTCTAAGTCAGCTCTTAAGTGAGAGAAGAAAGTTTACTTCGCTGTGGATATTGTCACCTTACAGGAGCAGAGGTGCCCTCTATACCATGTCTTGTTGCATAAAGTTGAGTTTTCCGCCATCTGTGCTCTAGTTATCGTCCTTCCCATTTCATTTCCTTGGAGGTCTCTGTATACCGGGAAGCCTGAGAGGGCAGGGAGGACGTTTGAGAGCAATCAGGTCAATGTTTGAGAGCAATCATGTCAATGATTGAATGTTTTGCCCTATGTTGGAAACCACCCTGAGTCCTCTCAGGAACCCCATAGAACACAATAAGTTGTTAGGAATTGTGGGAGTTGAAGTCCAAAACACCTGGAGGGCCCAAGTTCGCTCATGCCTGAAGGCCTCCTAGAATCTCAAAGTACCATGGGCGCTTTGCCGGTTAACTGAGAGGTGACTGTAATAATAACTTGTCCAAGTGTTGTCCCAGCCTACTAAGGGTATATCTGTAGGAGCCCCAGTGGTGCCGTGGGTTAAACCCCTGTGCTGGCAGGTCTGAAGACCAACAGGTTGGTGGTTTGAATCTGGGGAGAGTGTGGATGAGCTCCCTCTATCAACTCCAGCTCTCCATGTGGGGACGTAAGGAAAGCCTCCAAGGATGGTAAAACATCCGGGTGTCCCCTGGGCAACATCCTTGCAGATGGCCAATTCTGTCACACCAGAAGTGACTTGTAGTTTCTCAAGTCGCTCCTGACATGACAAAAATATGTAGAATTAATGCAGTTTGACACTTTAACTGCTGTGATTCAATGCTATGGATACTGTTATGCTATGGAGTTATGGTATACTATGGAGTTAAGGTTTTTACAAGCTCTGCAGCCATCTCTGCCAAAGAGTGCTGGTGCAGCACCAAACTACAACTTCTAGGACTCCATAGCACTGAGCTGGAGCAGCTAAACTGCATTCATTCTACAGTGTAGACTAGACCCTCAGCAGGCCCCCTTTCCCCCCAAGTCCTGCAGTGTCCTTTTTCCTCTCTCTCTCTTTCTCTCTCTCTCTCAATTTCTCTCTCCAAGCCAGCTGCAGATTAGCTCACTGGAAAGAAGTCAGGATGGGTCAGGCAAGGGGAGGGTGGGAAGGGAGAAAGACACAGGAGAAGGAAGAGGAGGAGGAGGAGGAGGAGGAGGAGGAGGAGGAGGAAGAGAAAAAAGCAAGGGGAGGGAAACAACAAGAAGAAGAAAAGGGGGTGATATTAACTTCCTAAAGTTTGGAAAGGACCACAACGTCGAGGGATTTGCAAACTAGAGGAGGGAAAAATGGGGTCCTGAAGCTGCTTGTGGAAAGGGAGAGAGAAGTTTGCAGAGAGGAAGGAGAGGGGGAGAAGACGTCTTTGGAGGAGGGAGAGAGAGAGAGAAAGGGGGGAAGAGGGAGAGAAAGACGAACAAAAGGGAGGAAGGGGGTGGAGGAAGGGAAAGAGGCGGAATTATGAGCCCAGAGGCGGCTGCTTGTGCCTCTTTCCTCTCCAGCCCCAGTTCGCCCAAGATGAGGACGGAAAGCAGCTCTGGTGCTGCCAAGGAGAAAGGTAGGCACAAGGGAGGCAGCCAAGGATCCTCCTCTCGGGGTGATCTCTTCCTTTCTTTCCTTTGCTTTATGTGTTCTTGCACCTGGGGAGGCAGCCCAAGCTTGGGAGGTAAGCTGCCTAGGGTTGTGCCTGTGATGCGACTCTTGGGGGGCATCTACACACTGTAGAATCCATGGAGTGTGACTCCCATTTCAAAGTCTCGTTTCTTTCCTGTCCATCCAGCTTCGTACTCAGAAATCCTTGGGTTTTGGGGGTCTTGTGTGAGTCACTGCATCTGGGGAGGCAGCTCAAATTTGGGAGGGAGAACGTGCCTCTTGGAGTGCCTCATTGTAAAGAATGATCTAATACAGTGTTTCTCAACCTTCCTAATGCTGCGACCCCTTAATATTGTTTCTCATGTTGTAGTGACCCCCAAACATAAAAATTATTTTCGTTGCTAAAAACATTATTAGTAACAATGTAGCAAAATCCAATCCAATTCAGCATCTTTGGATGCTGCATTGGATTGGATTTGGCTACACAAGTTGCTAATGTTTTTTAAAATGGATTTTTAACTTGATGGTTTTATTTAATGTGTGATGTTGTGGTATATTGTGAATGGATTTTGTATGTGCTGGTATCAAACTGTTGCCTATGTAAGCCGCCCTGAGTCCCCCTTTGGGGGTTGAGGAGGACGGGGTACAAATCTTGGAGATAAATAAATAACTGTAATTTTGCTACTGTTATGAATCGTAACGTAAATATCTGATATGCAGGATCTATTTTCATTCACTGAACCAAATTTGGCACAAATACCTGATATGCTCACATTTGAATACTGGTGGGGTTGGGGGAGGGGTTGATTTTGTCATTTGGGAGTTGTAGTTGCAGGGATTTATAGTTCACCTACAATCAAAGAGCATTGTGAACTTCACCAGTGATGGAATTGAACCAAATTCAGCACACAGAACTCCCCTAACCAACAGAAAATACTGGAAGAGCTTGGTGGGCCTTGCCCTTGAGTTTTGGAATTGTAGTTCACCTCCATCCAGAGAGCACTGTGGACTCAATGATGGATCTGGACCAAGCTTGGCACGAATATTCAATATGCCCAAATGTGAACACTGGTGGAGTTTGGGGAAAATAGACCTTCAATCTAAGAGCATTCTGAACCTCACCAATGATAGAACTGGGCCACATTTCCCACACAGAACCCCTGTGACCAGTAGAAAATACTGTGTTTTCTGATGGTCTTTGGTGACTCCTCTGACACTCCCTTGTGACCCCCTCAGGAGTCCCGACCCCCAGGTTGAGAAACGCTGCTTTATGGGTTCTTGCACCTGGGGAGGCAGCCCAAGCTTGGGAGGTAAGCTGCCTAGGGTTGTTTCTGTGATCTGACTCTTGGGGTGCATCATTCTTCACTGTGACTCCCAGTTCAAAGTCTCATTTCTTCTTCCTACTCAGAAATTCTTGGGTTTTGGGGGTCTTGTGTGAGTCACTTCATCTGGAGAAGCAGCTCAAATTTGGGAGGGAGGACTTGACTGTTGTAGTGCCTCATTGTAAAGAATGATCTAGTAGGAGGAAGCTGGCTAAGAGAGGGAAAAGGAGGAATAAGACATTGAGATGAGGACAATGGTTCTTGTCTTGTAAAAAGAATCCAATTCCTTGCTGGTGGATCTTTCTGAGCAGTTTGGAGACTTCTGGTTGACTTTGCATCTGTGGGCAATGATAAAGTGGGGATGGATATTGGGAAAAGCAGATTTCTTTTGTAGGATCCCCCCCCCCCCCCCCCCCCCCCCCCCCCCCCCCCCGCCAAACCCCTTAAAAAAACTGTGACTTTTGGCAAAAAGCTGTAAGTTGTCATTGCAATGGCTGTCTCCAAAGAGCTGGTTTCAACATGTGGAGGAAAACAATGCAGCAGAATTTATGCAATTTTTTGCACACAGCAATGAAGTATTTTACCAAGTTTTATGGCTGACTGCAAGGGGTTGTGTGGGTCAGCAGAAGGTCGTCTTCTTTTTTGCCGCAGTTTCTGTATTTCTTGAAATATTATTAAATTCTCCCTCTTTTTTTAAAGCAGAGAAGGTGTTTTGGTCTGATGATAATAGGCGCATTCAAAATGGTGACAATGTTCATTGGTATCTTCACCTGCATCTACGGCAGGCATCCTCAGAGATTGTGAGATCTGCCAGAAACTAGGATATATAAACCCAATTTTCCTAGTTTCCAACAGACTCACAACCTCTAAAGATGTCTGCCACAGATGTAGGCGAAATGTCAGGAGAGAATACTTCTAGAACATGGCCATACAGCCCAAAAAACCTACAACAACCCAATAATTATTTCCCCCTTAAGGATCCTCACCCATCCTGCAGTGAAGCATGAAATGATTCGATTGTTTTCTCCTTGATGGGATTTGCAAAGAGATAATGGAGGAGAGATGGGATTAACTTGTTAAAAGGAAGGGAAGAAGGCTTTCAAGAGATCTTGAGAGTCAAATCAGGGCTCATTCAAAGTCCAAACTGGTGATCAATTCTCTTGACTGAAAACTTTAAAACTGGAATCAGGAAAATATTGTTTGTTGGCTTTTTTAAAAAGAGAACTCTTGCATAATGAGCCACCAGTTTCTTGCCTCACATTTGAAAAAAATGTTATAAATTGTGGGAGTGAGTGAGGAAAATTGTGTGGTGTCACTTTACTTCCTCTTTTCAGCAGTTCTGTGTCCATGCCTGCTTGTATGCATGTTCTGGTCCAACTTACCTTTTTGAACTTATCTTCTTCTATGAGCCAGTTAGAGCATTAAGATCTGCTGCTGAGGCCCTTCTCTCAGTCCCACTCCCTTCACAAGCACGATTGGTGGGGACGAGAGACAGGACCTGCTCAGTGGTGGTCCCTCAGCTATGGAACTCTCTTCCCATTGACATCAGATTGGCCCACTCCCTCCTGAAGTTTAGGAAAAAGCTAAAGACCTGACTCTGGGAACAAGCTTTCGGGGTGTAGTCCAATTATGGAATATGTAACATGGAAATCAACTTAAATGCAGTATCAAGAATAACAACTTGGGGATGAGCATTATGTTTTAATGTGTATTAATTGTTTATATTTTTATTGTATTATAGTTTAATATGTTTATTTGTAATTGTATTTTATCATGCGGCATTGAATCTTGCTTAATTTGTAAGCTGCTCTGAGTTCCCCTCGGGGTGAGAAGAGCCAGATAGAAATATAGTAAATAATAAATAAATGAATGAATAAATGTGTGTACACAGACACAGAGATATACAAGAATCATCCATAACAACCTATCAATAAGCTATTGTAGTTTAATGAAGAGGTACCAGGGTTCCAATGTGGCACTAAAACTTTTCAGTATTGCACAAATGTATCTCTTATTTTTTTAATAGTTATCTTTAGCAAGAATATAGAGTAAGATCATTTACTTCAAACAGCAAATTTGGAGGAAATATTCTTTAAAAGAGTGCAGAATGGGCATCTAATTCATTTGTTTATATATTTTTATCTCTATGAAGAAGAATCACTGTTGACAGTTTCTGTGCCAGGCATATCACAGGGTTTTGAGTCATCTTTGGTTTCAATATTTCATTTGTAAATCTGAGATAAATTGTCTAGCATGGGTGAGTGGATAACGAGGCTTTATAGGGGAAAAATTGAAAATATTATACCTACCCATCCCAATACTATCCAGCCATATGGTCACAATGATAAATTTCCATTGTCTAGAAAATTTAATGCATCACAACAGGATGCCCTGGATATAGCTACAAAGTGTTCCATAACTTTGCGAAAAGCTCTAAATTTCCAGCATCAGTTTCTCAAATGGAATAACTGAGACAGGCACATTTTTTCCTCCTAAATTATAGGGAGTAAAAGTAGTAATAAATTTTAAAAAATCGGGAGGGGGAAAAGCTCACTCAGAGCTGAAGGTTGTTGTAGTAATGCTGTTCCATCCTCTTGCTACTATGAACATCAGCCGAAATTCAATACATTTTGTTTGAATTTCAACATGCATGTTTGGTAATTTTGGCATGTTACAAAAATAGATTTGCACTTCATTGGTAGCATTAAGTAATTGAATAATGCAGTACTTCTCAAGGCCTTTTGCAAAGTCATCTCCAGAATCTCTTGCTAAGAATTGGTGCAGGTAGAATGGGCCTTTCCATGGCAAATCAACATGACAGTGGTTCTCAACCTGTGGGTCCTCAGGTGTTTTGGCCTACAACTCCCAGAAATCCCAGCCAGTTTACCAAGTGTTAGGATTTCTTCACACGTTTGTGCTAAAATCTAACAGTGTACTTCATTTGCCCTCAGCTATAACAAACCTGGCTACTCTTAATGATGTGATCAGTTGGGACTGGAATATGATGTGTGCAGAAGCTTTATTGCTGTGTGCCTTCAAATTGTTTGTGCCTTACGGATGCCCTGTTCCAGGGTTTTCTTGGAAAGATTTGTTCAGAAGGGCTTTGCTTTTGCCTTCCTCTGAGGCTAACAGGAAGGCAAGGCTTGCCCATGGTCTCTTGGTGGGTTTCTGTGTTCAAGTGGGGATTTAAAGCTTTATCTCCAGTGTCGTTGTCCAGTGGTTCTTAACCTGTAAGTCCCCAGGTCTTTTGGCCTACAATCCCCAGAGATCCCAGCCAGTTTACCAGCTGTTAGGGTTTCTGGGAGTTGAATGCCAAAACATCTGGGAACCCACAGGTTGAGAACCAGCACACTACGCCATTCAGATTATTGTGGCTATCTCTCCAAAAATGGTTGGGAGAGCTGACCCCTTATTCTGGTCAATTTTTACTCCCTTTCTAAGCAATTTTACAAGGTATTGCGATTAGACAATTGTTATCTCCAGTTAATATGGGACTTTAAGACTGCAATCAAAAATATACTGAATATGGAGTAAGACCCATTGGAAAACTAGACTTTCCTTCAGACAAAAATACATACTTTTTCTTGGTGTACATTTTTGTTTTATTTGCAAATCGTGTTAATATACCTTGCTATCTCTCTAA